ACAGATTCAGACTAACACAGCTACCCCTCTGATAGTTTTTATAAAAACTGCTCTAGCAACAAAATGTATGCTGCTTGTTAATGTAATATTTTTCATCCATCTTTAAGCATCAGAAGCTTTCTAAAGTCCTCAGTTACAAAACAGAATAAATATAATATTAGAACATGGTTATTCATCAACATCTGCAACATTTCCCCTGAAATACAGTCACAGACAAGTGAAGGAACTGAACAATGACTTGGGGAAAATGATAAGGTTCTTTAGCAGTACTTTACCTGTCTAGGTCAGATGTTTGTCTTTCAAAATTCACGAGAATCCTTAAAACCTGGACATCTTGACTGAGAAAGCAAGGAGGCAATAGTCCATGAATATTCAACTGTTGTCTCTCTTCCAAAGTAAAAGCCATGCCCTGTGTAAGAAGTGCATGACATTACCGTCAGGATAATTCAACAATGGAAAAAGAGCATGTATTTTTCACTATCAAAATATCCCATTAACTGAAGGGAAACCTCCCCCAAAAAACAACAAAAACCACAATGCTATCTATCTGTAATAGGTATTTTGAAAGCACCATCACTCTATTATCCAGACTTTAACTCAACTCAATGCAAACTTTTGTACTTTTAAAAAATTGGCACAGAGATCATGGCATGACAATATTACAACATCTCCACCTCAGCATCAGTAAGTGACAGTCTTCCAATACTGAAATATTATTCCTAGTAACTCCTCTAAGAAATAATTGAACAACTGAAGAAATAATTGAACTCCTCTAAGAAATAACTGAGCAGCACTCAATTACCTCAAAAGGTAGAGCAATGAACAACCCAAATGCCTTCACACTCTCTTGTTTAACATGTAGACAAAATGAAAATATTCTCAAATCTTCAAGTGTAAAAAATTATGCTTTCTAATATTTAGAAATCTTTCAAGATCTCTAATGAAAACAATAGCTGAAAATTCACATAAGTAATGCAGTGACTGCAATACAACACACCTGCTTCTCTATCAATTTATTTACATAGGACCTGACCCAAAGCTCACTGAAGTCAATGGAAAAATATCCATAGTGACGCCAATGGACTTTGGATCAAATCCATAGTTTTTAATCCTACTGAATTCTTATTTATACTAAAAATAAATGAAAAAGTATTTTAAAGGTTCACAGGATTTCTTACGGGCATCCAGAAAAGTAGTTTAAATTAAATGAAATTATTTAATATATTCTATGTAGACTGGATAGGCATGTGGACTATTAAATAAAGATTCCTGTTAGTTTGACCATAATGTTCTTTATGTAGCAGGCCTTCAGTACAGTTTGCACTGAAGCATTTCTATTATTTTGATTGTAAGTAAGTTAAAGTTTTGCAATAGCAGCAGATCGTTAAGTAACAGGGAATATCATTAAATATCTTACTTAGTAAGAGAAGACACGTGCTTTTCCAATCTATCAAGAATTTCTGCCCAAACAGTACACAATGGAAATTATATACTAGAAGTGATAATACATTAGAGTATGCCTTCTTTCCCTATCTTTTGTTTGTATGATTTGTCTGAAGAACCTGAAAACTATGTAAAATACTGCTAATGTACTTCATGACCACCTGTGCAAGTCTTTCTAACAAATATACATGCTTGCAAAACTCCTGTTTTCTTTGTCCAGTTTGGTCAATGTACATAGCAGAGGGGCATTGCTGGCACATGATGGCATATATAACATTGGTGGACGTGCAGGTGAATGAACCGGTGATGTTGTAGCTGATCTGGTTAGGTCCTGCGATGGTGTTGCAGGTATAGATATGTGGGCAGAGTTGGCATCGAGGTTTGTTGCATGGATTAGTTCCTGAGTTAGAGTTGTTATGGTGCGGTGTGTGGTTGCTGGTGAGAACATGCTTAAGGTTAGCGGGTTGTCTGTGGGCGAGGACTAGCCTGCCTCCCAAGATCTGTGAAAGCGAGGGATCGTTGTCCAGGATGGGTTGTAGATCACTGATGTTCTGTTGGTAGAACTCCACTGGCCATCACCTACAGTCCTCAGCTTAAACCTCTCCAATGTATCATCGGTGATCTACAACCCATCCTGGACATTGATCCCTCGCTTTCACAGGCCTTGGGAGGCAGGCCAGTCCTCGCCCACAGACAACCCGCTAACCAGCAACGCCCCTCTGCTATGTACACTGGCCAAACTGGACAGTCACTACGTAAAAGGATAAATGGACATAAGTCCGATGTCAGGAAT